AGCAATTATTATTATTATTATTATTATTATTATTATTATTATATCACTCACTGTAGTTTGTATTATACGTTAAAACTTTTATTGACATTGTAAACATATGTTGAAATAAGGTTTAATCATACATAACCATCAGTTAACAAAAAATCAGTTAATAAGCAGTGAGTTTATAAATACTGTCTAGAACTCGGAAGTAGTGGCTCAATAATATATATGGAAATATAATGATAATAATAATAAAATAATAATTTTTAAATTCACCAAAATGTAACCAGATTCCTCTGAAAACTTTTTAGTGAAATTTATTCTTCAATTTTAACACAATGAACAACTGACAACCTTGTTGTGTATTAATTATATATTATATAATATATTATCTATATTGTGTTATTAATTTGATATTTATATTTTTATTATGAATAATTCATATGTTCATTGCAAACCATGGTCAGCACTGAATGAAGTGCTATATTCCTTTATCCTAAAATGATATTTTTTTTATATCCTACCTTCTGATTTATAAAGATACAGTAGTAAGAGTTTTAAAGAAAGCCGAAGAGCTGTACTCTGAAACAGGTAGATACTGTATAAGTCGTGTCATCAGCCTTTATTTTTCAATCTGACCCTTTCTCTATCATCATAACTCCGTCACATTTTTCAGTGATAATGTGCAAAATTACTGTACTAAGGCATTAAATGTTTAACGCCTTAGTACAGTACCCACCTGAACTATTAATATTTAACGCTGCGCAGTTTTTTTATATACTGTTATCAATCTCTGACGGCACCAGGTGCACACTAAAACTTAAAATACATTGATGATTGCTGGTTGCTTTTATCTTATTCAATTTCTGTTTAACAAAGTCCTAATGAAATTAAGTTTGCTACCGGTACAATAACGTCTTTCACAGGTCGATGTCGGTCAAAAATATAATCTGAAATTATGCAAATATCTATTTGGTATCTATGGTTATTTGTAGATTGTTTGATCTGGCCACCTGCTTCATATAGCGCTGAAGTGAATATATACTGTACAGTGAGGTCGTAAAGCAAGCTGTATTTGCTATTCAAATTTACGACAAATACAGTATATCAGCTGTGTGTGAATAAAGACATTGTCAAAAGAAATAACGCACAAAATTAACAGTACAATGCATTTTGTAATTCGAAATTATTCATTAATCGAAAACAAACCTAAAAACAAATGTCAAATGGTATGAGAAGCACTCTGGTTTTGTGTAAGAACAAAACAGCAATTCAACCTAAGATCACATTTAAACGATTGCATTGTTCAAAGAAAAAGAGAGTGATGGAATTAGGTTTGGTTTACTTTCTAGTTAAGAATACTATTGCCCTAAAAAGATCTGCGTTTAGTTGTAAATGCAAATTGTAAAAACCAAAACTTTGATCCGTAATCCCCACCTCCAGAATTCTCTCCCGTTGAGTGTCATACTGAAGCGGATATACTGGAGATCGTTCACTGGTTCCTGGCATTTGGGTGGACCGTAAATGCGTCTTTTTGTGTACTGATTAAGCCAGTTCCTCTTTAGTCACACAGTATATTCTTTTGGTGGCGCTCTCAAAGAGTGAAGGACCTGAAAACCTAAGAAACAGCTGTAATTTTGTAGGAGACGGCTTTGGAGAATGTGACCAATGCTAACTCAGTTATGAACATTATTTGTGGAAATGCTTATTCATATTCTTAATGTTTTAAGATGTGCCTATTTTCAGAAGATTGCGACTTGAGAAGTTTTACTTTATACTAATCGGAAGATTTTAACAAGGTAAAGGTCTATTTAAGAGCTCTGGCAATATTACCTTTCAAGTTTAAACCGTACTTTTCTGTTTATGACACATCGACGGAGACTGGTCTGTGAAGTACAAGGAAATATTCCAAGAAAAAATGCTTTCGAAAGTATGTGCGTAGTATGGAGTCAGTAATTACATTTGTGTTAAAAAAATTAAAGAACAAAATAATATTTTTCTTCTATTCATATTTTCTTTAATATATATACAGTATATAGGTTACACAGAGAGAGAATGTTTAATCATATTAGACAACTATCGAACAATTTTAGACACGTCATATTTAGTTTCGTAATTTCCAAGACTCAGAGGTTCCCACAGAACTGCACTCGTTTAAACTGAATATTCGGTTAAGCAACATCGAAAAAAAAACATAAAACTGTAGCTCAAAATGAAGACATGTTTATACAGTAGGGGTACATATTATTGGTGGTTCGTTAAATAATTATCCATTTTAACTTGTTTTTTTATTTTGTAGACTTCTGGAAATAACATTTGTGCGGCTTTCCCTTGTGAAATTGTAACCTACTCTGCAAACATGAATTATATGGTTTTAGCGATTTTGATTCAGCTCACATACAGCCTGGTTCATGGTAAGAGGATTTGATTTTTAAATAAAGCGTGATGTAAAAAATTGGATGTGTAGTGATGTGTTGACCATGTCATGGTAAGAAACTAGTGGATTCAATGTGGTAATAGTTTGCTTCATTACCTTTTGTATTTCTTCTAAACTTCGGGAGATTGAGCCTGTTTTGTATGTGTTACGGTTTCAGTTGGTTAATACTTTTGTGGTTAACACTACAACAATGAATCAACAAAGACAATCATCCGTGGACAATTGTACACGGACATGTTGGGTTTCCCCAGAATAATGCATGATTCTGCATGCATTTTATCTGAGGTGTGGTACATGTTTACTGTACTGCATAGGGTTGTTTTAACCTACAGTATATTAGGATGAGTGTTTGATATGGTAATTTTCTAAAATCTTTATGTCTCCAGAAGCAAGTCAACTTTCATTCTATTGAATTACTATATAATGCTAGTAAACACATTTCCTAGAAGAGTGCCAAATCTGTACTTATTAACCAGCAGATGAGCTAACCATGTTTATGTACACATTAGTTTTTGTCTGTGTTAGGTATTGTTGTTTTCAATTACTTTGAAATTTGAAAGAAGTGGGGGTACTGTACAGTATAAACTGTGTGACTGAAGCCAGTTTTTTTTTTCAATTATGTGTTCACTTAAGAATTCAGAACAAAAATGTAGTGTCCCTATATTTCTATGTTTGGTTTGATTTAAATGAAACCATTTAATCGTTTGACTAAAATGTGTTATCAAGGATTTACACAGCTGAAAGAAACAATTTAATGTATTTGACTGATTTGCCTGTAGCACAAGATAAGTGATTATCTAATTTATATGCATCTCTTCATTCATGTGTTGTATTTAACTCCTTAACCTATGATTTACAGAAGACATTTGTTGAATCTGTGTCTCATATTTTGTTGTCTGTCCTTTTAGCTGAACTGGATACAGAGAGCCTGAAGTGTCACAATGACTATGAGACAACAATGATTTGTGAGATCGACGCAGAAGGGCCTGAGGACTGTAACAATAGTTCTGCTTTAGTTTTTTCAGGAACTAATTCTGAAAAGTAAATGAATGTTTTTTTTTAAAGAACTCTTTTTGTGTCCTTTACTGTTAATAAGTAAAGGCATAGAGTATATAAATAAAAAATATAATAACACCAATCCATCCTGTGTTTTTACCTCTGTTTTCTTTTTTAATGATTAGTAAAGAACAAAGTACATGTATAACTTAATTTTAGGTAATTTTAATGAACTTATTCTAATAAAAGCTCTTAAGTGATATGTGATATGATACATGATATTTCATTAATTCAATGAATAATGTTTAAACTTCTGTTTTCAGAAACTATACATGCACTCTGGTGTATAAAAATGCAGACTTCAGCTCCTTAAAAACACATTGTTGGTGCAAAACTCAGATGCCACGATTTGTTTATAATGACAATTATACGGTATACCTATTGACTGGGAAAATAAGTTCACACTTGAAGAATATAATTCCCTGCAACAACAGTAAGTATGAACACAGCCTGAATGGAATTAATGTATTCTTGTAGTTTAAAATATTATTAAAAAATTGCTAGTAGTATACATTTGTGAAATAAAAACATATGTTTCTGTTTAGTGTGTAAATGTCTGGTATCTTTGGCTATATGAAAGTATCATTTAAATGACAGCAAAATAATTAATATAATAAAATATTTCTTTAATTGTATTAACTTACAGCTTAGTTTCACAGATAAAATGTCTTTATCTGCATAGTGTCAGCAGAAACTGATACATTTTGCACCTGTTATGACAAGTCTATCACTATAATTTTTAATTCACAATGACAAAAGACATGATAAAGAGCACTAAAATACCAGTGTAGATTCCAACAAAAACAATGTGTATACACACTTTAATGAGATAATTAATGGAAGTTGTGTGTAGTATCAAAAGACACAAACTCACTTTACTGATTTATAAGTGTTTATTGTTTTGCTATATAACAGAGTGCATATGGGCATTTAAAAAAATACACTTTACAGTATGATTTTCAATTGAGGAAGTTCATGATAGAAATACAATATCAGTAAAGCAGAGGTATGTTTATTGATCTCCAGACCTTAAATATCAACTAAATTAAGACCTGCTTTCTGTTCACTGTAGTCAAACCAAGAGCTCCCCATATACTGAATGTGAAACATGGAGAGAATGGAAATTTCCGAGTCACCTGGGAAAATAATTACTCTAATGAAAGCTTCTTATATGATAGCCTGAATTTTCAGCTGAGCTACGGGATAAAAGAGAAGGGAGATGAAGTAAGTGAGTGCTAAATTATTTTAAAAAACAAGTACTATAGCTTTATTGGACAAAGATAGCATTGTTTTTAGTAGAGGTGCACCAGGTCTATTAAAGGCAAATAATACTTAATAATTAGGGAATAACAGTAATCAGTACCTAACACGGTGCATGTGAAGTGGCTGCTACTACCTCAGTTTTTGGGTTTGAGTGCAGGTTTGTGGAGTTTGCACATTCATCCTTTTTGCAGATTTTCAGGTGTTCTGGTTCATTCCCTTCCATGTGTGTTTTGTGATCTCACTCAGGAAGCAGATCTGTGTTATTCCAATATACTGTAGGCCTGGTCTGTCAATCACTTGGTGGAATTGAGCAGCTTTTTGACAATGGATGTTAACACCTAACAAAGTTGTATATGATGTCTGTTAATGATTCTTGTACTTATTAATCAAAATACATTATAAAAACATTCATAGTGTGTGGATACTCATAGTAAATAAGATCAAACAATTATTATTCTTCTTCCAAAACAGGTTGCAACAGTATTAAATGTCAGCGATTTCTTCTATGAGATTTTAAAGAGCAGCCTGAACCCTGGGCGTGATTATGTTGTGAAAGTGAGGTCATACTCAAGCAACTACCAAACACAGTTCAGTGACTGGAGTCAGGAGCTGGAGTGGCACAACTGTGAGTCATATATATAAACTGCATTAAAAAACCTGTCTGAGAGTCTGCCATTGTAAGCCTGTGTGGTGAAACCAGTTCCTGATTCTTATCCATACAGTTAGCGTAGTTAAAAACAGTTTTAGAAGGAAAGCCAGGGCATTCTAGCTCTTGAGTTGTTCCATTTCTACTGGAGTTGTTCCATTTCTTTATTTCAGTATATTTAAAAGTCTAAAAGTTTAAAAGTTTAGATTTCAGAGACTTTTTCAACCTGTATTAGAAGGTCTTACTTCTTACGCCTTTACTTATTACTCTTAAAGTAATGCCCCGTACTTCTCCTGAGTTGTCTGAGCTTCAGGACTTACCTCATTATGTCCAAATTATAATAGAATCCATTGTGTGTCTGGGCAGGGGCAACACTGACATTGACCTGTATTTGGACTAAACATTAAACTCTCTGCTTACATCTGGTTTTTCCTGTTTACAACTGTTTTTTGGGCAATGTATTTTTATATTTAGAATGTGCAATACAACTTTTTGTGTACTGTTCCGTACTGTTTTTTGTATATTCTGTACTGTGAGCAACTTTTTTTAAGTGCACTTCTTACTGACTGTACTGATGCTATTGTATGTATTGTATTGTTGTATTATTTCATTACATTGTGCTGTGTTGACTGTGCTAAGCTGCTGTTGCACTGCAATTTCCCTCATGGGATCAATAAAGTATCTATCCATCTAGAATAGTACAAGTATTTGTAGGAGTTTTCTGTATTTTTAAACTTGCTCCTGTCACACCTCTGTAAAACACATATACTATATAACTATAAATGTATGAGATAAATCTAGACTAAAATGCTTATTAACTATAAAAAATAAATTATTCTAGCTATATGTAAAGTAACCTGCCAGTATATAGATTTGTCTCAGAAACTAGAAACTGACACACATAGTTCTAGAAGTTTTATTTTTCTAAAAGCATTCTACCAACAGGTAATTTTCAAAGCTGCATACTTAAACATTTGGTAGAAATATTACACAGTAAATTAGAAACCACTTTTCTGATTTCTCTGTTAACTGTTATATAACTTTATTATGTTGTCCAGCTATGACTGTTCCTGACATACTGAAGGTGGGAATCCCAGTTCTTTGTGTATTGCTTATTATCACCATTGTTTCTTCTTATCGATTCTACACTAGGTAAGTTTGATTTAAGTATCCCCTCATTTAAATAATGCTTCATAATATTAAGAAAACTGTTGGAAAACTAGAAACGTCTTCCCCTAATTAAATTCTAGAAAATAAAGATCAATGCTACAGTGGGTATAGAAAGTCACCAGTCCTTTTCAAAATGTTCACCTTTTGTTCCCCTAAAGCCCAAAAGAAGACTTTTTCCGGTTTTATTTACAAATTGTACCTTGCAGCATCCAAGTGAAAAAAGAAAGCAACATTTCTGAAAAAATAACAATAAAAAAGTAGAATAACTTGGTTGGATAAGAGAACACCTTTTGCTTGAATTACAGCCTTGAGTCTGTTTGGATACATCTCTACCAACTTTGCACACCTAGAGGGAGGGATATTTGCCCATTCCTCCTTACAGAATTGTTCAAGCTCAGTCAAACTAAGCACCTTGGGGCAACCTTGTTGTGAAAGGTGCTATATAAAAATACATTGAATTGAATTGAAACTGCATGGTGAAAGTTGTGGGACTGCCCTCTTAAACTCATTTCAAAGATCTTCAATTGAATTTAGGTCGGCACTCTGACTAGGCTACTCAAGGACACTCACGTTCCTGTCCTTCAGCCACTGTACGGTTGCTTTGGGGCATTATTATTTTGAAAGGGGAACCATCTTCCCATTTTCAACTTCCTGGCTGAGGGCTGCAGGTTTTCTTTAACAATTTCCCTGTATTTTGCACCATACATCTTCGCTTCCATCCTGACAAGTGCCCCAGTCCTAGCTAAAGAGAAACACCCCCACAACATGATAATGCCACCACCGTGCTGTACTGTAGGAATGGAGTTCTTTGGATCGTAAGATGTGTTGGGCTTTCTCCAGACTTACCGTTTTGCATTCCGGGCAAAAAAAGTTTGGTCTCATCTAACCACAGCACCTTTTGCCACTTGGCCACAGAATCTTTAAGGTGCTTTTTAGCTAAACATAAATGAGACTTGATATGGCTCTTTTCTTGCCACTCTCTCATACAGGCCAGATTTGTGAAGCGCTTGTGATAGTTGTCACATGCACACAATGGCCAGTCTTTACCATAAAGGCCTGTAGCTCATTCAAAGTCGATATCGGCCTCTTCGTAGTCTCTCTGATCAGTCTCCTTCTTGCTCAGTCATCCAGTTTGGAGGGATGGCCTGATCTAGGCAAGGTCTGGGTGGTGCCATACACCTTCCACTTCTTAATGATGTCTTCACTGTGCTCCATGGGATACTTAAAGCCTTTGAAATCTTTTTATACCCATTTCAAAGTTCTTTTGAAAGCACCTTTCTGCCCATAGTGGGTTATTTGCTTTGAAATATACTTCCAAGCAGTGGAATCCTTTAGAAACAGCTGCTTTTATTCTGAACTAATCAAAATCACTCCAGTTGATCACTGGTGGGAACCAATTAGTTTGCTGTGTGATCTGTAAGGTGATTGGTTTTACCTGAGCAAGTGTACAAATGCAATTGTAAGGGGGGTGTTCATTTATCCAAATAAGGTATTTTACTGTTGTAATATAAATTAATTTTTAGAATGTTTTAGAATTTCATTTTCACTTGCGTAGTGTAGGTTACTGTGTGTAAATAAAAATGGAAGAAGCCTAATTTAATTTTATATTTTCAGAGTGTCATACAACAAAAGGTACAAATTGTGAAAGGGGGTGGTGACTTTCTATACCCACTGTTTAAATAATTAACTTTATTTAACATAGCGCCTTTAAAAGTGGGTTCACAAATCGCTTTAAAGAAGAAACACTAATTAGAGGAGATAGCAGAATTGCACATGTTTGGAATTCTTGTTTGGGGTTTGGAATACAGTAGGAAAGCAAAGGGGCATACACAGAATCAGTTAAATGGCCTGTGACCTATAGAGTGTAGACGGGCTTGGTGGACAGACAGGAGATCAGAATTAGTTGAACGAAGGTTGCATGGTTGGCAACAGGATGATAGTAACTTAGACAGGAACTGAAGTGCCAAGCCATGGCAGAGCCTTATAGATGGTCATGAGAAGTCGACACAAAACATGATAGGAAGCCAGTACAAGGACTCCAGGATAAGAGTAATGTGATTACTTGCAATGGACCTGGTCTGGATTCTGGCTGCCGAATTCTGAACATATTGAAGTTTATTCAGAGTGGATTTAGGTACCCCAGTGAGTAGGGCATTATAGTAATCAGTTTAAGAGAAATCAAAAGTGTTGTACAGCTTTTCAGCAACAGTTAGTGACAACATAGGAAGGACTCTGGTAATATTTTGAGGTGGAAAAATGATCTTTTTACAATATAATATTGTATTATTATAATCCTTGTCTTATTGTCATCGTAATATTTTTTCCTTTTGTTCCCAGACTGAAAAAGTCATGGTGGGATAAAATCCCCAACCCTGGTAACAGTCGCATAAACCATGTGTACTCTGCAAATACGAAGGTACAGTAATTAAATCATTATTCATGTGAAGTATACTTTCCAAAAGAATGTGTCCAGAATGTCATGATAAAAATTCTGGGGTGGTGAGGCCTTTCCTTACTCGGAAAAGAGTAGTTGGACAGCAGTTAAGCTGTTAAGTGTAATAAAATCATAAACCTAGAGTGTGAAGTACTGAAGGAAACAAATACTTAAGCATACAAGTATATAGTTTTAAGTCTATGCTGCTAATCACAAATCTCAGTCACAAAATCACAAATTGTGAAATGACCAGAGTCAGAGCACCGGCCTGTGTAGCTGGTGCCGATGTAAATAGTATAGTAAAGCCTGTGGCTTTCCCTGTGGCTGTGGCTTTCCTATTAATTAAAAATGTACAGACCATGACTATATGATATACAGCAAGCAAATCCTGGATGGGGATGTGAAAGGTGGTGCACCAATGCTTTAAAATTCTGTGAAAGAAAACTCATATTCAAGGAAAACCTGTCTGACAGGTTTCTCACAGCAGATTTCTAAAATAAGGCATTGTGTTTTAATTCTTCATTTTAAATTTCACTCTGGCAAAGTTAATTCAGCATTGTTGAACATGCAACAGTATAAAAGCATTTTAACATCTATGTTCTGTCATCAAGGCTTTGGAATGCTCAATTTAAGAACAAAACCTGAATTAAATCAAAATGTTGTCCCACCTGTTGATTGCAAATTAAGCACTAAATTTACAGACATCTTAGCTTGTTTCCACTAGGTTGAAGCAAAAGGCTATCAATATTTCTGTTTAACATTAACACATTTGTTTTGGTAAGCTATCAGCTCCTACTCCTTTAGTACAATGTCCATATAGGCAATCATTAAAAAAAGTGTGATATACGTGGGTGCTAGTAAAACATTAAATTGGTCTTTATTAGCAAAGATAATTATGATAATTATTATTCATCACATGTGTTACCATTAGCATAGACAGATGTGTTTAAGTCTGATGTTACTGAGAGCACGCTAGCTATACTCTGTATCAGTTTGCTACTGTTTTTAGAATTTGTATCTTTTTAAAATGTAGTATCATTTATTTTTGTTTTACATTTTCAGTTGGTGCTTTCCCCACTTTATTGCAAACCTATCATCAACAATTTAACACTTGACATGCAGACATCTGGAATAATTGAAAAGCTATGGTGAGCCCTTTAAAATAAAGATTATACATTCAAAGAGGACTAGGTCATGTTTTGCTGGATTATTGATCACCATATCATATACCTACATCAAGCAACTAAACCTTTCTGTTTTGTATTATATGTAAGAACTATAAAGTCACTTCTCACAGTTCATTTTTTATAATTACCAGGTTTTTACAGTTTTGATAGTAGAGCTTTCTTGCATATTTGAACTCATACAGTAGCTGCCTTATATAAATTACACGGAATAATATTGTAAAGGAATGAAATGTAAAAGATTTCTATTTGCAGTCTTACATGTGACATGTGTTGGAATTCTTTGCATGTATTCTTATATAGACTAAACCAATTATAATATATTTCCTGCACAGGCCACCATCACTTGATGGAGATGCCACATTGGAAAAATTTAACTCTGTTATCAGCAAGACTGTTGAAGAAGACCAAAAAGTGGTTGTGACAGAATCTCCTTATCATGGCTGTTCCAGTTCGTATGAGGCTGACTACCCTGATACAATCACCACCTATTCACTGACTAAAGAGAGGGACACAGCTAACTCAGAGATCATCACACAAACTCAGAATGCACTGCGTGCACTGTTTTGCCAGCATGATATATTTCACGCCCACCACCCTAAAGCCTTCATACCCACAAGTGTGCTACACAATAGCATGGATGTATGCAATGCATATAGTGGCAGTGACAACTGTGCATTAATGAAGAATAGGAATCCTGGATGTGGAGAGCTTAATGTTCTGCCTTTTACTACTGATGGCCAAGCTCATCATTTCCGGAGCTCTGTGAGCTCAACAGGTTCTTCTGAATCAGGGTACAAAAGCATTCCGTACTCTTGGGTATCTCTTAAGGAGTATCCTGTTTTCAAAATGGAAAGTTCAAAAGAATTAGTTTTGAGTGAAAGACCACCAATGACTGCTCAGCCAGAGGTGTGGTGTGATCCTAGCTATCAAGGTCTCTGTCTAAACACATGCCTTAATAATAATGAGAAATGTCCTCTCTCCTCCATGAACACAGACTCTCTGAAAGGTCCTTTCTTACCAACACCTGTGCAAACCATCTCAGAGTATCAGTCCTATGATGGCAATGGAACCCTATTAACCAATGGAACAACAGTTTTTCTCTCCTCCAGATCTCTGCTTTGTGGAGCTGGTAATTTGCTGTCATCTCCAGGAGCTCTTCAATTAGCAGATGGGTATCAGAGCTTAAATGACACTAGAACCAAAAGAAACTCGGACGTAACTAATTTCAGTGTGGCAACTACAGAACAGACCCCTACAGACATTGATTGGCAACTTGAAACAAAGCTTATCTGCAATGTCAACCCTGCCTATGCAGATCTGAAAATCTCTGCATGTAGTACATCATCTTGTGTAGAAGGCTACCAACCTTTTCAAACTATGGTTGAAAAAATATCTATTGATAAGCCACCTGTTCAACATTTAAAGCACGTTGTATCATCAAAGAGTTTGCAGGATTTACAGTTAAGCTGTTTCTCAGGCTTGAATCTCACAGAGATCCCAAAAGATGGACCCACCATATGTGTTTCAGATTACCATGGTCTGCAAAACCCACACACCAGAATTAATCCAGATAAAGACTCTCATCCTGGCTCTGTTATAGCTATTCCAGAGATGACAATAATGCCTATAGATTCTACTTATAAAAAACTGTAAACATTTCCAAATAAAACAGATAACAAGTAATACATATGAATGCTGTAGATCCTATTAAGATGCATGTTTTATTGGAATGGTATCAAGTGACATATCGAGAAGGAAAAACTGGGGGCTCCCTGCATTCATAGGCTAACCTCTACAAACTGTGGGTCCATGTCACCAGCTGACTTTGACCAGGATGCCACATGAGTGGCATAGCAGTGCTGTGGGAATGGCTGAGATTAGTCAGCAGAGTCATTTTTATCTCCCAGTGACAACAGTGACTTCCCACCTCTACTTCCTGGTGACTGCACGCATGCAGTGACATTGCTCTCGGATGCACCACTCAGGCATCCTGCATAAAAGCCTCCAGTACATCACGGACCTTGTAGTGTGTAGAAAGATAAATGACTTGATAATTAACTTTCTCTTCCTCCTCTCTGGAAGCTGAGACACAAAGACACAATTGGTAATTCCAGATTGGGAGGGTTTAGAAAAAAATATTTTAAGATTCTACATTTCAGAAAGAAGATAATGAATAAAGACTAAAGAAACATGCCTTAATTAAAAATGTAAAAATAATGCTGAGTTATATTAAAAAAGAGAGGTGACTCTTTCTCCCTTCTGCAAGATGAGACACAAAGACACAAATGGTAGAGTGGCAGACGTTGGCAGGTGGGATCCTCTTTCAAGGTTATCTTTCTTTATGTGGTTGGGAACTACCCCTACACCGGAATTTCAGGCAGAGAAAATGTGCTCACTCCTTGTTTGCTAATTTTAACTTAAATCATAGTTTACAAGGCGGAAGGCAATATTGTAAAAGACTTGCCCATAACTATGAAAAAATGTATATTATTTAATTGCAAGAAAGATGTAATGTTAATCTCTATTTTCTATAATGTAAATAAATTCATTTTTTTGTTTGCTTACTTGCCAGTGGAAAAAAATGTTTAGAAGTCTGCAGCCTTTTTATATTTTTTTTCCTCTGTGTATGTTAAGTGAAGTCTAATACAAAAAAATAAGGATACACGGTTTATGTGGTCATGTCTTTATGAATCATTGTAAAAAATTTACAAAAAAATCATGTCTTTATGAATCATTGTACTTTTATTTGAAACAAAAGATCCTGATAAAGTATGATTTCAAAAGACTCCTAAAAGATCATGATTTTGTTCAACGCCAAGCAAGCGGGCTTTTAAAAGAGTTGCTACAAATATGCTTGGTGGACTGTTCCGTACACTATTTTTCACTTAACCATTTGTTTTTAATTAGCTTGGAAGTGCTGTGTTTGCCGTCAGCTTTAGATATAAACTGTTGGTTTCATTGTGTTTCATTGTCTGTTTTTGAAGATTTTGCATTTACCACCAAAATTGCATTTTTTGTAATTTGTTTTATATATGAACCATATCCAATTCATGTCAGTCACTTGTACTATAATTGCAGTGGTTTGGGGTGTTTCTTTAATGTAACTGTGGTCATTATACAATGGTTTGAAATGCACAGTTCAGTAAACATTTGCAGCTTTCTCAGTCTGTTGCTGTATTTTTATTTCTGTAATGGTTTGTGGTAATATTATCATGATTCTGGGAATTTCTGCAGATGAACACAGGTAAACAACACAGAGAGAACACTGTCACAAAGTGTAACTTCTTGATTACAAAACAATTGTTTCTCTTTACCGAACCACATTTTGAATTCACAGTAAAAATATTGATTTTCCATGAGACAGGATGTTAACATTCTGTTAAGTGAAACATTACTAACACTGTGCTTCAGACTTATGGTTTATGACATTAGGCACAGTCTAACTTTTTTTATGACTTACTGTAGGAGTTAATTCTCAGCTGAGGTAAGAGTGAGCATAATTCCAAGAAACTGCAGTAGTTGATAAACATTAACTGACACACTCTTTCAGATTCCAGTAATCTGAAGCAAGGGGAGGGAACAACAGGACCAAACTTGGTCTTGGAATGCATGTTTGCTTAAGCAAATATAAACATTTTTAAAGCTGTAGGTCATGAATGTTGTAGAAAGACACAATAAAAAATAGAATGAGAACATATTTGAGGTTTGAATATACCAAAATAAGAGTATGTCTGGAATATTTAAAAACAAAATGCAAAAAAAAGGTTAGAAACAAGAAAAAACAATTTTAACTCGTTGGGTTTCTAGTAGCTAAGTTATCAGAGAATTTCAGGAATTTCTGACATTAGGGTATTAGCTTCAACAACATGGCTGGGTAGCTTGTTTCATTATACTGTACATAACACTTCAAAGCCATACCATGACCATATTCATATCACAGATCTCTAATGGTTCTCTCACTTTTCCTTTCCTTATTTTATCTTGATAGAAATAGACTCCCTCTTTAGGTGCTTTGAGTAACAAAGCAGTTATTAGCCACGTCTATTGATTTTATCTGTTGATGACCCTGATAGGTTTTCCCAATCAACAGAAAATTTAAATAACCCAAGATAACCACTTTTTCCTTTAAACATATATTCCTGGATTCACTGTAGTAGACAGCAATACAGTATATTTGATATGAATGTAGTGTTATTTAATATACTCCCAACACTAAGCCTTTTTACTACTGACTCAATCACATGCTGTGCCAGCTATGTTCTGTTTTAAATTAGCTGAGTTTATGAACAAACTGCTCTTACACAAAATGTTAGAAAAGAAAACTTTCACAAAACATTTTTTTGTGTTGTGCTACCAAACTGACAGGGCACAACAAAGGCTGAAAGAAAGTATAAGGAAATACAGTAAAGTTTCCATTTGATCATAATTGTGAAAGGAGACAGACGTGGGTGTTGAACTATTGACGCAACTTACTTGGAACTTGTCTGATAAATGTCATAGGAAGCTTTTTTTTAAAAGCAGTGTTGAGCATACTTCACGATTTGAATGCTTACATCATTATAGGGTCTAAAAGTGGTCTCTTTTTTTATGAAAGATCAGAGGAAAAACAAGGAGCTCCTGTTATCACTTAATCTTCTCCACCTCATGTGGTTTACCATAATGTGATAATCTTATAATACGTTGTATTGTACAGTACCAGATGCATGTGTTTGTTCTTTGCAGTAGGGTGGAGTGATGTTGAATAAGAATTTACATACTGTTTTTGTGGCTGAAAGGAAGGTTTAGTGAGTTGAGTCACATGGATGTTTCTTTTTATTTCCTGTCTTCAATGTTTGTAAGGAGTGAATTTAAATACAAAAAATTTAACTTTATTATGCAATACAGTATATAATGTATTGCATAATACCTGGACCCCTTGGAGGTAGTGGCCGAGAGGAGAATGATGTCCAAACTGGAGGCCATCATGGACAACTTCTCCCATCCCCTCTATGACAGGCTTGCAGGAATGAAGAGCACGTTCAGCAATAGACTGATTCATCCACGGTGCGACAGGGAGCGCTACAGGGGGTCATTCTTGCCGTCTGCCATAAGACTGTACAACGCATCCACTTTGTGTCTTGGCAGAGGCAACAGCGACAGTGACCTGTTTCTGGACTAAACGCATATACACATCTACTGCTACATCTGTTCTCTTTCTCTTTCTCTTTCTTTTTCTTTTTCTTTTTCCCGTTTACAACCACTTTTGTGCAATATATGCCAGGGACCTGTGCAATACATTTATATTTATATTTATATCTATGGTTAC